CTCTTGCGTCCTTCCAAAGTATTGTGGGTACCGTTCAATAATCCGCTTTGCTTAGCCATGGGATCAGCCCAGCTTTTTCTGGCTTGACAATATCGTTCATAGGGGTTTTCTGCAGTAAGTACATGGTCGTCTGCAGAAATAAGCATTTGCACTACTTCAGTCATAGGAAAACCTCTTGTTGCTTCGGTTTTTATCCCCTATGCCGGCATCTCTGAAAAAGTTTAGATGAAGGGCTAGTGAAGGAATGTTGGGATGTGCCGGTTCGTAATTTGCATTTTTCGATTACCTATTCAAAGTTAAGACAAATACCCGAAGCTAACAAAATCAAAAATAACGCAAATGCCAAAAGTTAACCTGGCAGGAAGACAGCCATAGCGCGGTCGATTAGTTCCCCTTTATAACGAAGTTTAGCAAAAAACAACTGTCTCGGTTCGAAATCCTTTCGACCCGAAAGTTCTTCCAGACAACGGCGGCTTTCGCGCCCTGTTTATTTAAAAAACAAATATTTATACAAGCAGAAATATGAACGTGAAAATTTTCGATAAATAAAAGAAGTATTTAATCAGGTGGAAGAGGTTACTTTTCCTTGCCTAAGTAATACTAAAGTTGTCAGGTTGGAAAAATGCAGTAAAATCATGACAATTTCAGTGCAAAGCTAATTTCTGGGAGTCAAAAGTTAAAATCAGGGAAACTGTCAACATTCTAGGCCATCGATCCTGCAAAAAAAAAAGAATGCTGGAATTTAACCATCACTAAATCGATCGGCATCGGATGTGACCAGCTGTTTCGCGTAGACCACCTGCCCCAGTCCTGAGCCTTTGGATACTTATCCACTGCAGAATCAAAAGGGCATTCCCGAGGATAAATTCAAGGCCGTGATACTCAACTATTTCAAGTTACTGCTCTTGCATTACTAGTAAGTGGAAATATGAAAAATGCCTTAAAACCGGGAAAGAAATGCTGAACCTTGGATAAGTACCCTTCATCCATGAACTGGTTACATGGTAAAATTGGAAACTGTGAAAAATAACGAACCGGACACTCGAACGATTGCGATGGCAGATGGTAGTGCGCCTGAACTTAGAGCAAATATCGAACAGCTTCGTACGATGAGCTTCAGCATACGTACCCCTCGACCATCTGTCCCACAGATATCCAACCCTTACGACTACCATAAGTCTGTGTTATATACCCTGAATAAACACTTCAATAATGCGTACATCAAAGTTACTTTTTACCATTGTAATAATCTCATAAATTTTCTAATCTTCATTTCTCACCTTCTCTTTTCTCTTTATTTCATTCCTTCTTATTATAACTTTCTGTCATATCAGAGTTGGACCGACTTAAGATTACAGTTTAGTCTTCTAACGGCCATAATTTATTATTACTGATGCCCGGGGCTACTTGTTTTCTTAAAATGCAAGTTCCTCCTGTCCCGGGAATACAAACGCTCAAATCTTGCTTAATCATCCGATCCTTGACTCTCCCCCGTCCCACTTGATCAAAAAAGATACTTTTCAAAAGTTTTGAGATGGAACAAATGGGGTAAAATCACTACAGCCACACCTGCACTGGCACTAGTTTTACAAATGCCTTCGTTTCGACTGATTTTGCCCTCCTACTTTTATCAGCGCAATAACTCAAAACACTTCCCCTCCCCTTTACCCTCTCTTCTTGTCCCCTCCCTCCCCGAAAACTTCCCAGCAACGGTCTTTCCAAGAGAATTCGAGGAACAGGAGTCATATTTTCGTAAAAATTGTCGTGTTTAACGTCAGTTCTTTGCCGTTCTAATCCCCTTAAAAGCAACCAGAGCGAAAAAGCAGCACCGGACTACAGGTTGACAATGGTCCGATGATATAATCATCTAACAACTTTATTTTATTCCACTTTAGATTTGAATATACACATAAGAGGCGATGTTAATATCCGTTACAGAAAGCACGAATCATTAGCAAATGCAAGAATTCAGAAATTTTCCTCGTAAACAACACGTGAACATCAGTCAGATCATGGAAAAACTTCCAGCTTCACGTAACATGGCCAATGTACTTACACAACAAATCTTGCCAATTTCAGCGAAATTTATTCTGGGTACAGAGAAAAGACTGTGAAACAGGGCTATATCTAGAAAGCGATATTGGCCATGTTGTCCATAAAGGGATTATGCAAATCCCAAATGCTCCAATACGCACGGATTTGTACTTTCATTGACAGGTTTAATTGCTGGCTAAATGGTTAATCGAGATATGTACAAACGTGAAGAGTCTGACAACATCAAGAACAGAACGGCCGGTTTTTAGATTTT